TATCATATAAATCAATTTACAATGCAGTGTATATAGCAAAAAAGAAGGAAAATGATAACCAGCAGAAACACTCTTTTTCTTTTTGTAATAACATAATAATGTATAATAATGTAATAATATATATAATGCATAAAGTAAATGTCATAATGAACCATAATACATCCGAAGAATTAGATATATAAAGCAATTTTCTAAATAAACTATTACTCATGCTACAAAAAATAGGTAAATGATGTACATGGAATGCCTAAAATAAATGACGTAATAGTACCTATACATATATGCGACCTACTGCAAAATTAAACCCAAAACTAAATTTCTACTTTGTTATTACATAGTATCTAAAAGTTACCCCTCACTTCAATTATATTTTTGATGAACGAAGAGAAAATATCTATTACATCTTTATCGTCTAATCTCATTATACAAATGAATTCTTATTGTCTTTACAAATTACTAAAAATTTCTTTCAAAATAATTACTAAATTTTTCTACCAAATTACTAAATTTTTCTTCCAAATTACTAATTTTTTAAATAAAATTTACTTGTTAATCTTTGTACTTGTCACAATTCATAATCATATTGAATTCATCTCCTACAAGATTCATAACATTTGAATAAGGTAATGAAACAGCAAGTGCACACTTTTAATTGGCAGGTTTTCTTCCACGAATCTTAATGTCAGATTTCTAGGTGATAAATCGTATGAAATGAAGGACTTCAAAGTAGAATTTAGTCGATTGGTCTTGAAAAGAAAAATGAAAATTTAGATTTTCCTCCCGTAAGCCGTTATTTCCTAGCAGAAATATAATTGGTGACATCGTATCCACATGTATGTCATTAATAAAATGAAATAATTTGTATTGTTGCTCAGTTATATAATCAACATGACCAAAGCTGGAACAATCTATGCAGAGTCAGAATGGAGAATGTAAATTAAAAATAGATATCGAATTCGATTGAATTCAATTCTGATGGTGATAAAATGAATATTCATAGACCTATGCTGGTAAAATTTTTATCTATAAAAAGGATTCAGGAAGAAAAGAAAAGTAAAAACATAAAAACATAACAAAAGAAACAAGTAACGAATTTGAATGACGCATTGACGAAATCGATTGCAAAATGACGAAATTCTTTATTCATGCAATTGTCGTTGGCAGCAGTGATGAAAAAATTGGATGTAGAATGATGAAACTGATTTGACGAAGTTCGAACATAAATGTTTCGGGACGAAATTGATTTATGAAATTGCCTGTTTTAGAGCCAAGAATGACGAACTTGAGTTGACCAACAAAATGGGATGCAACATGATGACAATGATCTGACAAAATTCGAAAATTGAAATTGACTATGCGATGTGTATGATTAAGAAGTTTCAAAAGGGGCACTGATTAGAAGGAAATAAGGGACACCTATCCCAGGTAAAAGGGGGCACTTTGGGGGGTCATTCAAAACGGGCATTCCCCGTGAGCTATGCCTCTGTAAAGAACCATTGGATCCACCTCTGAAATAAAATCGTTATTGTAATGAAATGAAAAATAGTATCTAAATGTCACGCAAATTCTTACCCCTAATTTTGAGGATTTTTTTCGGCATGATATTAAAGCACGTCGATAAAAAAAAAAATTGGACTTTGATCATATCTGTTTATTGAATTTCCCACTTATCACACTAATGACACCCTTTCGTGCCTATGAATTCCATTTTTAAAAATCTTCCCTCTTTCCCTCTTCCTCATCATATTTGCCTCTTCCCCCTCGCATCTCGGGCAGCAGCTAGAAAACAAAAGAAGAAGGGGAACACCTGAAATAGAATTCGGAGATACAAAGTCATCTTAATCATTCTAGAGGTTGGGAGTATGTAAAAGTTTTCTTTTGATGGAAAAAAGTGGTTCTGTATCTGGTAACGTCGGACCTTGTTGGATGAATCTATACACGTCTTGAAAAGAATCACACCGATCACAACATTGCTCAGGATAACGTACATTGTACATGAGTATGTCACAAGACAATATCATGTGCAATTGCGAATTCCAACATATGACAAATTTAAAGGGTCTATCTTTAATCGTAGGTCGAGGATAGATAATGTGCAAGTCTGGACTTGAAAATAATTTTATTTCAATTTTGAAGATAATATTTCCAAAAGCATATTATTCACACAATCTTCATTACTTTGTAAGTGTAATCATGTGATCTTAAAATCATTAGCGTTTATAATTAGGCCCTGCTATCAAACTTAAATATTTTCATTGCGTAAACAAATTTTTTAAGGTGCAGTCGTATTAAGCAGTTTAAATATGTAGAGCTTGATTCCAAAAGGAGCTAAATCCATATTTTATCAAAATGGAGTTATTTGTCTTAAAATAATGTTATCCTACATGGGGACAAAATGCGCTATATCACATTCGAAAATTTCACCAGGAAGTATGAAAAAATTTAGGTACAATATCATGTTTCATTCCAAAAGGAGCTAGATCCAAATCGGTTTCATTCCAAAAGGAGCTAAATCCACTTTGGGTACTTCTGAGGAAATCACCTTTTTTATTTCTCCACTTTCCATTTAGCAATGTACCTTCATGTTGTTATATATGTTAAAGGTGTCACCCTGGACCAATACTATATGATAAGAAAATAAATCTACCAGTTATTTGTGATTTTTACTAAATTTTTAGATTTTGTGGATTTAGCTCCTTTTGGAATGAAACATGGATTTAGCTCCTTTTGGAATGAAACGGATTTAGCTCCTTTTGGAATGAAAATGTGATATGTTGTTTACTTTCTTTTCAAAAGGTGTTTTAGTTGCGATTTCACTATTATTATTTAAAAGGAAAGGTTTGCTACTAAATTTGAATACATTTCAGTGACTTTATTGAGAAAATATAAAATTTTCCAGGTACAATATCATGTTTCATTCCAAAAGGAGCTAAATCCACGAAAACAAAAATTCTAAAAATTTAGTAAAAATCAGGGAAAACTGGTAGATTTTTTCTTATCATATATTATTGGTCCAGAGTGACACCTTTAAAATATATAACAACATTAAGGTCCATGGCTAAAGGGAAAGTGGAGAAATAAAAAAAGGTGATTTACTCAGAAGTACCCAAAGTGGATTTAGCTCCTTTTGGAATGAAACTCTTCATATCATGGTCATGTGCTCTGAATAAACAGTCTCTATTTCAACAGGCTAGTCAATCATTTTCGTTAGATTTCATTCCCATTTGTCTCAAAATGTAGGCCTAGTGATCGAATTCATCTTTGTGCAAGGGGCACTTTTCCATAGTGAAATGGGGCAGTGTTGGGGTACTTGGGGTACTCGGAGCGCCACCTCTGCTTTTTTCCATACTAGAGGCATATAATAATTTAAAATAACACATTTTTGCTATTGTATGTGTCCTTCTAGGAGCTCCCATTGATAAGGCATATCATGACAAAAGTGATGACGGGATCAAAAAAAAAAATATAACACACCTAGTTCCTAAACTTTAAACCTAACCCTTATAGCCTTTACCTAACACGCAATCGTAATGCTAATCCTTACCCAAATTATTTAATGAAATAATCTCGTAGCCAATATCATTGGATCAAAAAGCAATAAAACATATCGTAATCCCATGACAGATGTAAATATTTCATTGAAATGCTTCGAAAGGCTTCACTAATATGATTTCCAACTGCCCTTCTCAAATTTACCATAATTATAAGTTCAAATTTTTACAGAATATATTTAAAGGTGAAATTCAAAGAAAATCACAAATATGTCAACAAATGTATCACTAGAAACTGGTAAGCTAACAGATGGTCATCGTACAAGTTTTAGGTCAACTACATCGGGTGATTGATAAAATACAAATACAACTACCTCCATAGCAGCTGGGATATACGGGAGATTCGCCGGAAAAATAACGGTGTTTTAATGACGTCACTATATGGACCAATACTGCCCAAGCAGACGACATCCCATAATGAATGAACATAATTGCAAAGCTATTATTTGTCAAATTATAATGAGTTTAGTGTATATAAATGTAATGGCATGTCAAACCATTCAAGTGGGGATATGATCCGATTCTGATAACTAAAATCTTTTGCTTGTAAATACACAGGTTAGGGGTTTATAATTAACAATCAAAGAAGCCAGAATTTCAAATTGAACCCCCCCCCCCCGGAACAATATTAAGGACGGCATTTGCTTCCTTTTGAAACGCCGAACATACCGCGGTGTGTGCAGCTGAATATACAATGGAGTTTTATTTTGTTTACAAGCGACAGATTCCTTTATTTTTGTATCGCTACATTTGGCATCAAAATAAAACCATGCGCGGGGTTTAGAGTGAGGCAATAGATTTTACATTTAGCCTGACGGAAGTGAAGTAAGAGAAAGAACTCAAGAGAAGATGAAAACACAGGCACTGAAAATGTGTGAGATCTCATGGGACATCGTCTGCTTGTGCAAATCATATCCATACTGTGATCTCACACAATTCCCAGCAGCGTTCGAACAGCTCTTTAGGTGCTATGCCGGGGCTGTATTGAAGCGTTTTGTAATTTATAAGAATCATTACTTCGAATGTTTCCAAGCATTGAATTTTGATAACCTTGTCGAATCAAAGTTTTAACTTTGCAATAATGAAAATAAAGTTAGTTTTAAAATTAATGAATATCTACTTTAACAATAAGACTTCAATATAATTTGTAATTCATTTTTACATTCATTCGTTATTTATTCGGGTTTTTGACAGAGTCATTTAACAACGAGTCATGGACATAATGTATAATTCATTTTTACATTCCTGATGAAACCAATGAGTTATTTATTAGCACATGATACAAATTCATACATACAGACACAGGGGAAATAACATTAAAAAAAAACATAATGTAAGCCTACAGCTTAACATCCCAAACCTGTAACCTTTTAACAGAACCATAATTCGATGTACATGTAATTTTCTTTAATGCAGGTTTTCAATGATCCTATTCATAGCAGTGTCCCAATGGCTCCATACTGTCAGCTAATTATCGATACACCAGAGTTTCAGAGACTACGATTCATCAAGCAGCTTGGAAGCACTTGTTATGTGTTTCCTAGTGCCGTCCACACGAGATTTGAACACTCAATAGGGTAAGGCACTTCATACACTTTTTAATACGAAAATAGCGAGAAAAGAAGGGCAGATATAGGCAATGACGCAATTGTTCCAAATCTTACAACTAGTGCACCCCCCCCCCCCCCGACCCGGCCCACCCCGCAAAGGCGCCAGTCTCCCCTCAATAGATAGACCCACGTCACTAATATTAACGGTTGGCTGGAGGAATGCACATAATTTTAGCATCAATCTTTAAAATATGACATGAAGATCATACCTTGTTATGATGATGGTGCAACACAACATCATTGATACCGGTACTGTTCTATTGAAAAGAGCTGCAGGCATCGGTATATCATCGTGGTTATATATTTCCATTTTTTTCCATTACAGCGTAAGTCACTTGGCGAGTAGGCTCGCAGAATCACTTGCACGTGATAATAAAACTATTGAAAAAAGCGACATCGCTTGCGTGGCGATCGCTGGTCTCTGTCACGATCTCGGACATGGTCCCTTCTCTCACGCCTTCGAAAAAATTGTTCCACCGGGCAAGAATGGCGAGAAATGGAGTGTAAGTTGATATTTCTCACGATTATTCTGTATGATTCATAATCAGTCAAACTTGTAGCGTAAGCATAGCGCAAGCAGAGTTATCAAATGTCATATTTCTGTGATCTGCAGCGGATCTGTAAATCACCTCTTTATTCGCACAGATCTTGTAACTGCAAGGTAAATGCACTTTAGCAAATATTCTGTAGATTTGATTGGATTATAATTTTGCCACATAATCAATGTCCGGCTAAGGTTAGTTCAGATATGGCCCGGTAAACCGCTGCAAAAAAAACTACCGGGTATAACATTTTACTTCATCTTTTAAAAAAGAAAAAACGCCATAGTTTTGCCGTGTAATTGCTTTTTTTCGTAGCACGAGGAGCAATCAGTCATCATGTTTGAGTACATGATTGCACATAACGAACTGCGTAGAAAACTGAAAGAATACAACATCTACGAGCAAGAAATCAACTTCATCTGCGAAATCATCGTTGGTCGTCCAAGAGGGGAAAACAGCAAACTGGTAAGTGTAAAGCCATGAAGGCCGTTACTGCCATCTATGTCGTAGCATGGGCTCGGTCATCGGAGGAAGGGGGGGGGGGGAGGGGGCAGTCTTTAATCGTCTACTAGATCAGCATTAAAACTTTTGTTTTGTCGGGAGAGGGGGAAGCCATCCATTTACGAGTTTTACGTCACCCCGAACCGAAATTGATCGAAGAGGATTTGTTTTCCATACCTCGGTCACTTAAGCGTTCGGCCACGAAAGTATACTCTCTGGGTCACTAATATTTTAAGCGAGCGAGTAATAGAAAAGGCACTTTTATTATGGCAACTATTTTATTTAGCCATCAATATACTAGATTTACTCTTTGAAAGGTTAGCCAAGTGCCTAGGACACCCCAATGCTTGAAAGAAACGCACTTTTTAGAAAACTTCACTTTTTCATGCAAAAATGCTTATTTGCTCTATGGACGTAAATCAGATTGAGCGGATGATACGTTGTTTCCATATGACGGGGATATTCATGGACCTCGCTGCCTGAAACTATCCCGTTTCTTAATTTTGAGAGCGAGCGAAGCGATCGAGAAAAAACTTATTTATTATCTCTGTTCAAGGTGCATTTGGTTTGGCTCGAAACTTTGAGGTGGATAGTCACACATTTTCTCTGTTGTACTTCTGTGCCACTGTGGTTTGAATTGTAAATGGGGAATTGTAAAATCGAAAGCCAAGATTCTGAATACAGTTCTGTGTTGTATGATATTTGCCCTTTCTCATTCTAAAAGAACACCAAGTTTTATCTGCACCAGATCGTGAATAATAGCATCAATGGAGTAGACGTGGACAAATGGGACTACGTTACACGAGATGCTCTCTATCTTGGCATGAAGTCTGCGTTCGACTTTAACCGCATTATGCCATTTGTTAAGGTGTATGACGTAAACAGAGACGAGGATAAAAGGAAAGAACTTTGCTTCAGAGACAAGGTGCATTATAGTAATGTGTATCTATTCAAGTTACATTACAGGTAAACTTAATTCAGTAGGGTGATAGCCCCGATGGGCAGAGGGGTGCTGCTTACTTCTCAACAAATTTAATAAATTCAATAATACAGTCTCACTGACTCCAGGTTTTCTCGGTCAGATTTTACGTTCTAAAGTATGAGGACAAATTACTCCAAATTCAGATATTTTGGGGTCACATGCTTCCCTTCTGCATCTGCGGATACTCAAGTACAGTCCACGTTAGTTAAATCACATTGTTTCACTCATGTTAAATTCTTGAGATTTTGCATTGTAAAAATGTAAAATGAAATGCATCGGTATCGAAGATACATTTAAAGAAAGAAATCCAGTTGGATAATTGCTTTTGAATATCATTTTTTTTTACCCTTGTGACCGTTAGGTGGCCAGTGATCTAAATCACATGTTTCTCACACGCCGTCGTCTTCATTATGCAGCTTATCAACACAGAGTCAGCAGGATCATCACAATCATGTAAGCACTATTTTGTTGTATTGGCCAAACAGGGGGGGGGGGGGGGAGTGAACACTCTTTTTTTTCTTTCTCAAAATCCACCCCCCCCCCCCCCTTGAGGAAAAAAATTCTTCCTTTTTATTTTGCCAGGGGGAGGGAGCCCCCCCCCCCCCCCCCCTCCCGTTGATCCACGCATGCACGCCGTTACTGGTAAACGGTGCATGTATCCGCATTCGCATGCCATCTTCGGCCATCCTCTGGATACCCATACAGAAGCGAGCGAAGCAGGAGTGTATACCGACGTCAGCAACGCGCGCGGCATAATGTAGGCCGAACATCTCACATATTGTTGCTTTAAATAAGCAACAAGAGCAGGTGTAACTAGTGTTAGATCAAGGCGATCTCAAAACCCAAATTAAACGATTTAAAAACATCCCCCCCCCCATTTGCTAACACCTGAAACACAGATAAAGGGTGTCTTTAAAATTCAAAAACACCCCCTTTGGTGTGTGAGCACTATTTTTTTTTTTACTCAACCCCCTCCCCCCAACAACAACTACACAATTACTTTTTTTATTTGCCAGGGGAGGGGGCCCGTCTTTTTATTTCATAAAGGTGAAATTAACGTTACCATTAAAAAAAAAAAAACCTTTTTGGGGGGCCAGGGGAGGGGGACCGGGCCCACGCCCCCCCCCCCCCCCCATCCCCTGGATCCGCCACTGGTAATTTTCATCCTCATTTCTTGTTTCTTATTGTTATTTTTTTTTTAAAAGAGAGAATTAAGTCTGGCATGTTAGAATATTATTTCAAATAAGTCAGGCAGAATGGTCAGCAACACTTCATTATTAATCTCGTATCATGATCATCCTGTGTTTAAATGGTATGGCTATAAATGTAAACATTTTCAATGTATCTACGAAAATGACCTAATTTTTTTTAAATCGTGTTTTTCCCCCTTAGGCTGAAGGACGCCTTCCTGGCTGCCAGTAATGATCTGATATTCATAGGCATAGACGGGTAATTTGAAAATACGTGTTCGTTGAATACAAGTATTTCGGATTTTAATTTATCCAAGTTTTGAAGCGGGATTTGTGGAAAAATTCCAAGATAAAAACTCGATTCTGCTCCGGTGCCCATTTTAACTATGTACTGACGTTGTTAGAATACATTTTATAAATAATATCCTTTTTATCATGCATCAACTGAGCAAAATAGACCCATTTACCCTTTGTCTGCACAGTCAAGAGGAGGAGGGGGGGGGGGTATCACTTCTTTTGCCATCGTTACCTAATTGCCCTAACATGTTCATGAGATAAAGGCTATTGAAATATTGCTTTAGGTAAGACAACAACGATTTATGATAATGAGCCTCCCTCAACGATCTAATTGTCTCTTTGGGATCGCTCGGCGAGTGTTTTTTCTTTTCTCTTCTTTTACAAGCCTTGGTTCAATATAAGATTACATTTGTGAGCCTGTAAAATTACACTCCTTAGATCATTATATAGTCAAGGCACTGAGGAATTGAGGTAGTGTCCTTCGATCATTTATTGAAAATGTATGGGGTCTTGCCATTGTTATCGTTATCATTATCGATATATGATATATGAATTATCATTATCGGTGAGCTCTGACCTGGCCTTGAGAATACTTTTAGAACAAGTTTTCAAAATTATCATAAACTTACATTTCTTTAAAAATGTTTAGAAAGAAGTACGATCTCTTAGAGTCTGTCCAAGATCCGATGGCCTTTTGCCAAGTCAACGACACCATCTTAAACGTGATCATGCTATCACAAGGAAAACGAATGGAGAAGGCACGGGAGATCATAGATCGGATCCACAAAAGACAGCTGTATCAGTGCATTGGAGAATATCAGCATGTCGATGGTGTGGTAAGTGAATTTCCTTTATCAGTATAGTTTAAACCAGAAATAGGGGGAGGGGTAAGGGAACATTTGTTTCTTCCAGCAATTTTGAGAGAAAATTTCGCAACTACTTAGCCTGCCGCTGATTAAGCGGGGGGGGGGGGGGGAGGGGGTAGTGAGCACTATCTTTTTTCTCCATTTTTGTCCCCGGGAATTCGAAAATTGCGCAGGTCGTTTTTCACTCAGTAGGGGGGGGGGGGTAGTGTGAGCACCAACTACAACAAATTATATTTAAAAAAACCCACTGCACTATTCGCAAAAGAGTAGAGGAAAAACTCCATTGGAGTGATCGCCACATTCCAGAATTTTTCACTAGCGCGCAAGGAGAAGTAGGTAGCAAACAATGCCTTCTGTTCATGCAAGCGTGAACACATACCACACAAAAATGATACCAAATGATTTTGGATAACACACTCTTTCATAAGATTTATAATAATTGTTCATAGATGATTTTTAAAATAATTAGCAATTTTCTAGGTGTAAACTTTTTATTTGACTCACACGGTATATCTATTTTAATAGTCTATGTCAAATCGTATGAGTATTTCTGTACGGTATAACCCTATAACTGATATGGTTCTTTAAGAAATGTATTTAATGGTTTACATACTTGATATTCTGTAATGAATTGTAGCTGTCTTCTCTTGTCAAATAGATGCATTCCTCGAAAGGAAGTGAGATCTTGGAATGGATCCACAACCTTCGTGAGGAATCCCCCTCAACATCCTCGTCGTCAACATCGTCGTCTAAATCACCTGCTGAAGAGATATGGAGCCAGGGAAACATCGAAGTTGAGGTGGTCATTTGTAATGCAAAAAACAGAAAAGCGTCGTTTGAATTGGCTTGCCTGCTTGAAATAGGGAATTTACTCGTACAAAACATTTTGTGCTCAAGTACAGAAGGAGGGATAATGAAAATTAGAGGGCGAGCAGGAAGGCCGCTTTTAATGCTGATGTGGCTAGTATCCCCAGCATTGGCTTCAATCCTTTTTTTTTTGGAGGGGGGGGGGGGGCACTGAAATCTGAGTGTCCAAGTAGAGCGTGCCGAGCGGAGCGTTTAACGGCGTGGGGTCCAGGGGACGGAACTCCTAACAGCTCCTGGGTTTTCACTGTTTTTTTTAGACCTAAAAGCGTTTAGATTATTTTATTTTCTGTTGTCGCTTAATAAATGCTCGAAAAAGAAGATTATAGCAACTTTCAAGAATTGAGAGATTAACAAAAAAAGTAATACTATCAACACAGTTTCCTAGACAAAGCCCTTCCGCTAGATACCCCTTTTGGTGTCACTGAAGATTTAATTTTACAATTTCAATATATTGCATGCATATACCTCCAATGGATTTTTTTTCTTTGCTCTACATATAGGTGTCGAATTTTAATTATGGGGGTGATGATAAAAATCCACTTCTTCACATTCCATTCTACAACAAATCAAACGGAAGCAGCTTCCATCTTTCTACATACAAGGTAAGTGCTTAGTCCATGAACTTAACCAGATACGAAGAGATCTACATGACTTGCCAATCTTATGCCTCGGTCAAACTTTCACGCTAAACCGAGGCATAATGAAAACATCACGTAGGGCCAACCTAGAACCGAGAACTCGAAAAACTTATTAGAACATTCGAAGAAAATCTGCCACGTAATTTCGAGACAAAGGTACCGAACGCCTCGAAACGTCCAGCCACATCAAAAATATGTCGCCATATACCCCACGTCAGTAGACAGTGCCGATTATTTTACGTGAGTTAATTCTGAATATTTTAATTTTCTCTAATTCTCCCTACCTTACAGTGCACCAAGTACACCCCGTAATAGCCTGGTAGATTGCATGGAATAACCTTATCCCAAGCGTATCACATAAGTCTGACTGTTAAAGCAGTCACCATAACGTTGTGTTCAAGAATGTAGCCAATAAGAAGTGTCGATATGGACCACTTGTGCGTGCAATACTTTGTACCATATGCAAGGGGCGTGCATTTTGGTGATAACAAACTTGGTTAATTCACAATGAGACGAAAATGAACTCGACAAGTCTCGACAAGTCGTCGTGCAGTGCACATTCAATAATGCATTGTTTATTTGTATACATGCAGTTGATTTGATCAATCCTCCCAAAAGGATATCAAGAAATACATGATAACACTCTAGTTGTAATTAAATGCCACAGCTCAAACCAGTTGCATGCTTTCGGGATTTTTTTTTTAATTTTTATAAATGTAGTTTACTTCGTCTCAATCTATGTATATATATATATATATATATATATACAGTATGTGCCTTTTTTTTGGGGGGGGGGGGGCAGGTCGAAAAAACAGTAAGATACCAGTTGAACCAACTGGTACCGGTACCAGTTGATTCCAATTAATTAACTGGATTCAATATGGATTTGGGAATACTGGAATCAACTGGTAACCAATTGGTTCCAGTTAGACCAGTTGTCAACTGGTACCAGTTAATTCCAGTTAAGTGAACTGGTTTCAATATGGAAATTGGTATAGTGGAATCAACTGGTAGCTGGTACCAGTTGATTTCAATAAGTTAATCGGTTTCAATATGGATTTTGGAATACTGGAATCAACTGGTAACCAGTTGATTCCAGTTGAAATAAAAGTTACCAACTGGTACTAGTTGGATCCAGTTTAACAATTTCCATATTGAAAACAATGCTAACTAATGCGACCAGCAGTCAGCTGATAATCAATAATCAATATTGCTTAGCATCTGGCAACCAACTAGACCACATTTATTTAGACTCTTGCAATTACCCCATCACATAATCATTTGAGGCGCATTACATCTGAGTATAAGGTTTATTAAGTACTTGCGAGATCATACATAAATACATACAAAATTATACATGTTTTTACTGGTTATCAATTACATATATCAATATATCTATGTTTACTTCTTAAATTGGATGTAAAACATGATCAGACATAATATATTTGTCAACGATTGACTAAGAAAATATAAATCACACAATTAATGTGAATTAATTAATTGTCACATTTGATTGACAGATCATGATAATGTTTTTTGTAAAAACATGCAAATTACTCATGAATATGCATTAGATACATTGAAAGGGTTTTCAACTGGTATACTACTGGTTACAACTGGTAAAATCAACTGGCAATCATCTACTGGGTTTCAACTGGTAATTCAAGTGGTAATGATCTATTGGTTTTCAAATGGTAAAGCAACTGGTAATCATACATCTAATAGTTTCCAACTGGAATCAGCTAGTATCAAATGGTCCAGTGTGGTCACTGTGCTGGAATGAAGTTATGAATTACCAGTTAAGCCCATTTGGTTTAACTGGTATCAACTGGTCTAATATAGGATTTCCCGGCCAAATTCGCGAGTTTGTCATTCAAATTAATTTGTCTTGCGTTCAAATTCGACGGTTTTAGTGCAGTCAAGTATATCTCAGGTTTATATTCCCTTTTCTAGTTTTCAAATCTATGGAATTTTCGTTAGAATCTACGTATGTTTCATTCAAATTAATGAACAATGTGCTTCTTTCGCTATTTGGTCATTCGATTTGGCGCAACACGATTTTCTGACAACACGACGGTGTACTTTTAGCATTCTAATTCATTTGTAGCATTTAAATTAGCACTTTGTGCACTTAAATTGATGGTCAATATACATTTCTCGTTTATTACACACTTTTTATAGTTCATTCTTTTTCTTTCAAGATTGTTTTCTTCATGTGTATTTCATCGGATTTCATTTTCTTGCATTTATTCATACTTATTAGATTTATCTGATATTTATCAGCATTTAAGTTTGATTGTTAAGAAGAAAAAAACGACTTGCATCTACGGACCTGATGGTCTCAGTATATTTGTAAATGTTCATGTAAGGAAGTTGTTTGTCTTACGTTTCATCATAAATTTATCATAATTTCATCATAACTTCATTATGGAAGAAGGGTACAATATTGTGACTCGGGTAGGGACTAGAGTCAATAATTTGAACATGTCTTCAGCCATCGATCTGCTGGCGGGCAAGTAAACTATGAAACTCTTTAAGAAAAACAGAAGGGTGTGCTGGGTATAAGAGACGATGTGAATTACTTTTGTAAAATTCCGAGTCTGTAGTAAATAGGGGCGATTGAGGGTACCCCCACCTTTCCCGGGTATATGAACATGTCCGTGCAGAAATGCCATATCCCTTGATTTCGCCCCTTCTTTACTTTATGTCTGACTACACCCATCTGCATTGTCCTGAAAATAAATAAATGGAATAACAGCTAATTAGACCCCAATGGCAAATCATTCATTTTAACTGCATTATTTAAAAACTATAAAAGTTTGATGCACTTCTTCCCCCTAACATTCCTAACTTGAATAAAAATATTACGAATACACTCTAAAAAAAAGATACCCAATATTGGGTAAAATTTTACACTTTACGAGGGTAAAAAGGGAACATGCATGTTTGTTGGGTAAAATTTGATACAGGGGTGGTTGGGTAAAAATTTACCCAGCAAATGTTTAATGTTTTACCCAACTGATGTGCAATATATTTGACCCAATGTAAAAGGTAAAATGTTACCCAACGACAACCATGTTCCCTTTTTGACACAACATTGGGTAATTTTTACCCAACTCATCCTGGGTACTCGTTTACTCTGTTCTTGTGTGATTTTTTACCCAAAAGTTTGGTAAAATTTTAACCCAACCTTATTGTATGATTTTTTTTATTTTTACACAGATTTGGGTAAAAAAGAAAATTTGTCCGAGGAGTTGGCTGGAAAAGTACATGCTATATGTAGTGTAGTGTATAAGTAGCAGACCTCTCTCTCTCTCTCTGTGCTAGACAGTCTTTCGCTTGGCGTGCTCGCAGTAGGTGACTGCATCGCGGATGACATTCTCCATACGAATAATGTGTTGTCCAGAATTATGAGGAATTTCATGTCCATATTGAGAAGATTTACATGCATTCATGCAAATAAATGCTGCGGAAAGACACAAGTGCATGATCGTAGTCTATTTCGAACAAAGTCGTCCATCCTCTGTCGATCTTGAACACGATTAACTTGATGAACAGCTAATTCGGAATGACCAACCACGCTAGCGCTTCAATCATAGTTTTTAACATCAGTTGTGTCATAATACCAACGTTTAGGTGTCAAAACTTGTGTTTACCCAACGCGTGGTTAAACATTAATCTGCATCGTTACTTTCTTACCCCGGAAATGCGCACAGTTGAATTTTGATATGACACTATGCCAAGTGTAATGAAATTTCAAAGGGACTTGGTGTTTGGCACAAGGTTGGGTTATACTTTGCCCAACTTTTTTACACAGCAATTTTGCACAGCAAAATTTTGCAGTCTATTTTTAGAGTGTACGAATGACAGGTGTTAATTTGAATGATAAAAATTACGCTTCGACAAGTGAATATTAATTTGAATGCTAGTTGAGCAGTTTCTAAATTGAATGACAGATCTATGAAACCCTTCTACCAAAATCCTAAATTAAATACAAAAACTGGAAAATTGAATGATAATTGGCATGGCAAAGCCGATCTGCGCTAACAAAGTAAATGAATTCGAATGACAAACACGCGAATTTGGCCGGGAAATCCTATAATATACCGATATACGTAGTTAATGGCTTTCAAATGGAATCAACTTGTAAACTACACCCATTGGGTTTCAATATGTTCCAACAGGAAACAAATGGTCTCAAATTGTCCACTTTGGTTTTATGGGTTTTCAACTGGAATCAACTGGCAGCCACCAGTAAGGCCTATTGTTTTTGACTGGTATCAACTGGTGTAACAATTTACCAGTATGGTTAATTGGTTTTCAACTGGAATCAACTGGTTTGTTTTCAGCATGTGCCAGTAAGGTCAATGGGTTTCAACTGGGATTTACTGGTGCATATGAAGTTTACCAGTTGTGTCAACTGGTTTCAACTGGTACCAGTTGAATCCAGTTGCAACCAGTAGAATAAACTGGCACATTTCCAGTTCCGTCAACTGGATTCAACTGGTACCAGTTGGTTCCAGTAGATACCAGTTGAAAATCCAACTGGTTTCAACTGGTTTTTCGACCTGGGGGGGGGGCATGTTGGTATAACAGCAATTTTGTCAAAGTTTGCTTTCTATGCACGGCAGTATTACTTTTACAGGACATGCCTTGTTACTTTGACACATGCTTTTGATTAACGTTTGGTTAAAGCAATGTATAAATATATTTACGATATATTAAGCAAGTTACTCTGTATGATATATTTCGGAGCATTATTCTCGTCAATTAAACTATTCCATGATTGATGCATGTTACTACAGTGTGTCCCGAAAAAAACTATACACTTTTGAAATGGCTGCCGAATAAAAAATATATAATTCTAGGGGGAAGAGTTGTATATGTATGGAAAGCCCATAAACTCAACTTTCATAAGACACCAACAAGTTTGAAAATAATTCATGCTTGGGTGAGCACTGCTC